GCCGCGGCGGCTTCGACGACAGATTCGAGGTGATGTTATTCTGCAAACAGAGAAAAACAGGAAAATTTATAGTCTGGCTATAAAAAAAATAAAAAACTCCTTTACACTTACCATTTCATTGTTAATCTCCCTGAAGAATATCTGCTTGTCCATTTGGTTGATCTTCGAGGAGTTCTTCGCCGTCAGCGTCTGATTGAGGAGAATCGTCAGCGAGTACTCGAGCAGTGCAATGTCCAAGTTGATCTTCTCATTAATTGCCGCGGCACGTTGATCGCGCAGCTGCACGATCGAGTCCTTCTCCAGCTAAGAAGTGTGCAATAAAAAGTGAGAAAAAGAAAGAGAGAGAGAAAGATGCAACTTAATCCGCAGCCCAAACAAAAAAGTTTGTGCCTCACAGTTTTACTTACTTTGTAGATGGATTTAATGTCGAAGTTGATAAAGTTCACTAATGAGCCAAAAGTGAGCACTTCCAGGGAGTCGGCATTAGGCAGGGAAAAGTTGGTGGAGAGCAGCAGTTGATCGCCACCGCCACTGCTACCACCACCACCACCACCACCACCAGTGACGTCATCACCACTTTCCGCCTCAAAGAGATCAAACAAGTCCGGCGCGAGGTCGGTGATGAACTTAAAGCTGTGCAGCAGAATTTTCAGCAGCACACTCTGCGAGCTACTTGGCAGCTCCTGCTGCTGCTGCTGTTGTTGTCTTCCACCGCCGCCCAAGTGAAAGCTAACATGACCAGCAGATGCTGCTGTGCTCTGGCCTCCGACAACAGCGGCACCAAACTCGTCCGCCGAGAGCAGCGCCGGCCGCATGACAAAGGCAATGACCGAGTTGCTGGTGAGCAGAATCTGCTCGGCCACCAGCCGCAGCGAGCTGTCGTGCGACTTCGCCCAGACCTTGATGTACCTGGAGAGCGAGCTGCAGAGCGACACGGTGAGCAGCACCAGACTGGCGTGCTTCAGCCGCCGGCCCTGGCGGAAGCTGGTGCAGAGTTCGCGCAGCGAGTCGGAGTAGATGGCCACGAAGGAGATGGCCGACTCGACAAAGTGGTGCTTCAGGTGGCTGGTCATGTTGATCACCGTGCGGATGAAGAGGGAGAAGATCTGCGAGATGTAGGCGAGCTCGACGGCGTCCACGACGACGACGGGGGCGGCGTTCGGTCGCCTGGCGGCGCCTTGCAGTTGCTGCTGCTGCTGCTGCTGCTGGCCAAAGAGCTGCGCCGGCAGGCGAAAGTAGATGGCCAGATTGTTGACCACATTTTGGCTGTGCAGCAGCTCGGCGCCCGCCTCGTGGCGCGACACAGCGACGAAGAGCAGCGGCAGGGCCTGCGCCAGGTCGAGGTGGGCGCTGTTGTGGAGGAGGTAGACGAGCAGGTTGAAGACCATCTCGGTGATCTCGTACTTGCGCAGCACGTCCAGGTACTTGCCAATGTGCTGCTGATGCTGCTGCGGCTGCTGCTTCACATTCGCCAGCATGTGAATGACAATGGAGAGGTGGACGTGGATCAGCTTCTTCTCCAGGCTCAAATTTGGTGTGGTGGGCGTCCCCTGGCATGACACCGCCTTCGCCGACGTGGCCAGCTGCTTGTTCATCAGCTGAATGCAGCTGTTCAGAAGTTGGACCACGTGGTGAAAGAGCCGATTCAGCTGGTTCATCTCAGGAAAGCACAGCAGGACCTTCAGCAGACACGAGCTGAGTGACACGAGGGCATTGAAGGAGATGACGTCCTTGTTCTGGAGGACGGCGCCAAAGAGCTGGACGATGTTGTCCGCAAAGTCGGTCTTCTTCAGCGACTCCACGACGCTCGGCTTCCAATTGGAGGTGATGAGAAGGAGGAGGTTAGAGAGCTTGTTGACGATCTTGGTGTAGGCTCCGTTGGTGTTGCTGCCGAGAAGGGCCGACAGATTTTCCAGTAGGCCATTGACTATGGTACTGCTCAGCGAGTCAGATGTCATCTGCTTAAACTGCAAAAAAGGCTTTGTTTTAGGCTTTGTTTTCAAACGCTTTTTGTTTCCCTCAACTTACCATAGTCCATGAGGAGAGAAAGTCCCTCCAGGCGTCGATCAGCGCCAGTGTGCTGTCGTCAATTTGCCGTGGCTCGATAATCTGAGTGTGAATGTGTGTGGACAGCTTTTCAATGATCGATTCACTTTGAATTCGCTTAAAAATCGCCTCCAGCTCGTTATTCGGCGTGTCTCTGGAAAGAAAAAGAAGAAAAAAAAGAAAAAGAATTCAGTCAGAACACTGCAAAAAAATATTCAAATAAAAAAAGTTGAAATGACACCTACTTCTCAAGCATCTTCGAGTAGAACATTTCACGCGACAAAATCTTCAGAATGTAACTGCACAGTGAGTCGTTGAACTTCTTCTCCCCGCCGGTAAAGAGCGGAAAGGTGATCAGCTTCCAGAATTTGCCGTTCTCCTTCAGCAGATTGATGGCGATGATGTTCGGCCGGAGCCAGAACTTGGCGATAAACTGCAGCGACGCCTGGTGCAGCTCAAAGGGACAGAAGTACACGCCCTCCAGCTTCTCCTCGAGAATCTCCAGAATGGAGCTAAGTACGCCGCTCTGGTGGTCGGACACGCTGAGGAACATCTCCACCAGGCCGGGCTGGTGCTCCACGCAGATGGAGAGAAAGTTGAGCAGGGCGATCTTGAAGTTAATGTCCTCCGTGACGGCCTCCAGGCGAAAGAGGAACTGGTCGCGAATCGCTTCGGTATGGGAGCCAAAGCAGGCCAGCATCGACATGGGAAACTTGAAGGCCAGCTGGCTGAGCAGCTTCATCGCATTAGTGNGTGGGAGCCAAAGCAGGCCAGCATCGACATGGGAAACTTGAAGGCCAGCTGGCTGAGCAGCTTCATCGCGTTGGTCGCCAGGAAGATGTCCACCTTCTGGTAGACGAAGTAGGTGAAGATGAGCAGCATGTTGGGGTTGGCGGTGTTGGTGGTGCTGCTGCTGAAGAGCAGCTCCTCAATCACCGACTTGCTCTTCGGTGAGGCCTCCTCCTCCCCCTGCTGCTGCTGGCTGCTCACCTCCGAGTACAGCTCGAGGAGGAAGCTGAGGATGAGCAGCGAGGTGCGCACCATGATCATCTGGTCGTCCTCCACCAGCAGCACGTCATTGCCCGAGCTGATGATCTTCTCCTGGACAGTCTGCTCGCCGTTCTTGACGACGTGCAGGAGGTACTCCGCCGAGCTGCCCTCCATCAGCAGAATGGTGCAGATCTGCTCAATCTGCTCCAGGCTGGAGCCTGCTGCGCCCGCTGGCTGCTTCCGCCGCCGCCGGGCTCGTCGCAGCACCTGGTAGAAGAT